TACTGTGTATATATATATATATATATATATATATATATGTATATGTGTGTGTCACTTTTTTAAGAGTGATTTTTTTTAAATGTTGTATTTTGCTATGCATTTACATTTTTGTGCATAAATTAAACACAAAATATATATTTTGCTTTTGTTGATTTAGTCAGTAAAACTGAAATGCTTTTATATTTTTTATAGGATTTTAGTTGTTGGATTAAATATTTAGAATAAACACACATTGAATATTGTCAAGAGTGGAAAATATTAAGAACTTTTTTTTAACTATATTTCCCACTCACTAATAATGACACATTCCAGCATTTGTTTTACTGGAAATTATGGTTTTATTATAAATGCATTATCTTCCCACAGCACCTACATAACAGCTCATTTGTAGGTTATTTAAAACAATCATTGTGATGCGTATCTAGTGTTTCCCGTCTGTCCTCTCTGTTTGCACTTATTTCTCACGCATTCTCTCACGTGTACTCTTTATTTGCCTGTAGACGACCTCATCCGCCCTCAAAGGTGCCATCCAGCTGGGTATCACACACACTGTGGGCAGCCTCAGTCAGAAAGCAGAGAGAGACGTTCTCATGCAGGACTTCTATGTAGTAGAGAGCATCTTCTTCCCCAGGTGTGTACGAAAACATATCTCACTTGCGTATATATTTCCCAGAAATACTCAACCATGTTCTGTAAATATATTTGAATATTTATGGACATTTAAATAGATTTAAATTGGTGTGCTGACTGTTGTTAAGTTTTTGTGTCTATAAACGAGTGATATAAAGAGTGAGATGCCAACCATATCAGAGTCTTTGGCCATTCAAACCTTCAAATTGAATAATGGGCAGCCAGCCAGGGTTTATATAAATAAATAACATTTTTAATAAAACAGAAACTCATAACCCTGTCCCTGTTTTTTCCTCCTGCAGTGAAGGAAGTAATCTGACCCCAGCGCATCACCACGGTGACTTCAGGTTTAAGACCTACGCCCCCATCGCCTTCCGATATTTCAGAGAACTCTTTGGCATTCGACCTGACGATTATCTGGTTAGCTGAACCACAAACACACTCGCATCTTGAGGTCTCATATAATAAAGCAATAAGCTCCAAGAAGCCTTGGTTTACAGTGAATTTATAGCAGCTAAGGGGCGTTGATAGGCACAATGTGGAGCGGAGTGCCTAAAACCCCTTTAGCTGTTATAAATTCACTGTAAACCATGACTTCACTGGGCTTGTTGCTTTTATAAAACGGTTATTCCACATACGTAGCAAGGTTTCACAAAATAAAACGAAGCAAATAAAATGTAATGATATTAATAAAAACATTATTCTAATATGCGCCAAAAAAAGTAGTTCCTCAGAAACGGTTGTGGTTGCAACAAAGTGCTTGCCGAGCAACACACAGACTCAGAAACAAAGAGGTGTATGTTTGTAGAGTAATTTACAACAGCTTCGAATGCGGCTCAATCAGTCAGAATCAAGGACTGGAACTATCCGTTTTATAATAAAGCAATAAGCCCCAAGAAGCCATGGTTTACAGTGAATTTATAACAGCTAAGGGGCGTTGTTAGGTACCCTCAGAAACAGTTGTGGTTGCAACAAAGTGGTTGCCAAGCAACACACAAAGTAAACAAAGGTGTATGTTTGTAGAGTAATTTACAACGGCTTCGAACGCGACTCAATCAATCAGAATCAAGGACCGGAACTATCCGTTTTATAAAGACAGTTTATAAACTGGTGGTTTGAGAATTAACTCATACAATAAGTTTACGGACCCATTAAAAAGTTTATATAAAAATCGAATAAATCTTTATATAAAGGTTATGGTATGATGAAATATACATTTAATAATATTTCAATATGTATTGCTGATATTGTTGAACTCAGAAAATTATGAAGGTTAAATGGATTAATCATTTTTGTGCACTCTCTCTATATATATACATACGTTTAAAAGTCAGTAAGATATTTTTTTAAAAGAAATTAATACTTTTATTCAGCAAGAACACATTAAATTGATCAAAAGTGGCAGTAAAAAAAATGCTGCTCAACACAAAAGTTAGCAGCACAACCATTTTCAACTGTGATCATAAGAAATGTTTCTTGAGCATCAAATCAGCATATTGGTATGATTTCTGAAGGATCATGTGACGCGCAAGACTAGAGAAAAGTGCAAAAAAGTATTTATCCATTTAACATGTGATATTATTTCTTCATTCTCCTAAGGGACTGGGACACCCCTGATGTGTTTTTGTGGTTTCTTTCTGTCTGCAGTACTCTCTCTGTAATGATCCTTTGATCGAATTGTCCAACCCTGGAGCGAGTGGATCGATATTTTATGTGACAAGCGATGATGAGTTTATTATTAAAACAGTGCAGCACAAAGAGGCAGAGTTCCTGCAGAAGCTACTGCCCGGGTACTTCATGGTGAGTTTTACTCACTCGTGTGCATGTACTTTAGATACTTCTGTCTAGAATGAGTTCTTTTTAATCCCAATCAGAAACATAATACATTTTAAATCAAATTATAGCAACCATTGAGGCCCAAATTGGTATTACAGAATTTGTCTTTCTATTCTCTTCTCCTTCTCTCCTCAGAATCTGAATCAGAACAAGAGAACACTGCTCCCGAAGTTTTACGGCTTGTATTGCGTGCAGGCGGGTGGAAAGAACATCCGTATCGTTGTAATGAATAACCTGTTGCCCCGCAGTGTGCCTATGCACCTCAAATACGACTTGAAGGGCTCCACTTGCAAGCGGCGTGCCTCCCCTAAAGAGAGAGAGAAGAGGGTCCCCACTTACAAAGATCTGGATTTCATCCAGGATATGCCCGAGGGCATCCAGCTAGAACCAGACAACTACAACGCCCTCTCCAAAACCATCCAGCGGGACTGCCTGGTGAGCATGCATGCTTGTGTTTGAGTGTTATTGCATGCTAGTTTGAAATGCAGAATCCACGATTAGTATGATGTTGATTAGTGCAATGTATAGTGAATATTCACAATATACCATTCAAATTTTTTTGGTCTATAAAGGCTGTGAATATGAATTAAAAACAGTAACTGTTATTTAATTTAATATATTTTAAAATGCAAATTATTCCTATGATGGCTACATTTTCAGCATCATTACTCCAGTCTTCAGTGTCACATGATTCTTCAGAAATCATTCTAATATGCTGATTTGCTCAAGAGACATTTCTTATTACTGTCACAGTTTAAAACGGTTGTACTGCTTAATATTTTTGTGGAAACTAAAGATCCTTTGATGAAAAGAAAGAACAGCATTTATTTGAAATCAAGTCTTTGAAACATTGTAAATGCCTTTACTGTCACTTTTGATCAATTTAATGTGTCCTTGCTGAATAAAAGTAATGATTTCTTTAAAAGAAAACAATCTTTCTTACTGTAAACCTTTGAACGGTAGTGTGATTTTGATGATGGCTTAAAGCATAAGTTGCAGTGATTTTATTGCACTTTTTGTTTGACCGTTAAGTATGCGAAAGACCAATTTAGTGATCTCCATTTGTTCTTCATCCTTTTCTAATGTATTAAATAGTTTTATTAGTAACATATAAAAGTTAAATGTTGCATTTTATTACTGTGTATAGTGTAATTGGGGCATATAAATGAAAATAATCCTTTTAAACTAGATTTTGTACTATTATGTTATTTTTTTAATTCAACATTTTGAATCTATTCGGCTGCAGTAGTTTAAACAGATGCATCCTGTGTCCTTAATTAATTAATAACCATTTAAACAATTTTGGGGCAAATTTGTACAAAAATACATATATACATATTGAATTTTGTCAAATGCAAGGTATTTTTTGCTGATCCATCTCTGTACTTGACAGCTGCTGCAGAGCTTTAAGATTATGGACTACAGTATGTTGGCGGGGATCCATAATGTAGATCAGGCATGTCGTGAGCGAGCAGGGGTAGTAGAGGGCGGGGTGTCCGAGGGGGCCGTGACACCAGACCACCGGAGGCCACAGGCTCAGAAAGCTCTCTACAGCACCGCGATGGAGTCCATACAGGGAGAGGCCAAAGGAAAAGGAGCCCTGGAAACAGAAGACCAGTTAGTCAACATCTTACTTGTTCACCCACATAAGTTTTTATTTGATTTTCGATGGAACCATGCAGTTCTTCTGTATACCTATTCTGTCTGCTTTAACTTTCTAACTGTTTAATCCCTTGTATGTTTTCTTCATTTGGCTGCAGTATATGGTAGTCATATTTAACACATCCAATTTCATGTTCTGTCTGTAGATGGGGAGGAATCCCTGCACGCAACAGTAAAGGAGAGCGAATACTGATTTATATTGGGATCATCGACATATTACAGTCATACAGGTGACTACTTGCAGTCAACAGTTGAGTGTGCATGTTTACAGGTTTGTGACCATCATTAATATCTCTCCTTTTGTTCTTCCTTCAGATTTATTAAAAAAATCGAGCATTCCTGGAAGGCCTTGGTTCACGATGGGGTAAAAAGCAAACATTAGTTATTTTGCACTTATTTGCTACCATATGAGATAAATAGCATTTCTCTCATTTACGTTGTAGGACACAGTCTCTGTCCATCGGCCTGGATTCTACGCTGAGCGATTCCAGCGTTTCATGTGCAACACAGTTTTTAAGAAAGCGCGTAAGTTCATAAAACTTCAGCTTTTCCAGCGAGGGATAGTTCACCCAAAAATGAAAATTCAGTCATCAATTACACACTCTCATGTTGATCCAAAGACATTCGTTCATCTTCCAAACACAAATGAAGATATTTTTGAAACCTGAGAGATCGAAAGAGAGTCAGAAATTCCACCAAAACTTTCAAGCTTCAAAAGTGATCCATATCCACAATTTCAAGCTTCAGTGATCCATATCCACAATTGTTTTATATAATTAATGGATTTTTTATTCAGACATAAACGTTGATCAATGCACGTTCAAAGAGCACATCAACAACCCAAAATTAATTGTACGTGAAATAAAGCGATTGTGTCACTTTATAGGACTTACATTTATGATGTCTTTATGAACATTTTGAACCTTAAAAGTTTTGGTGGGAGGGACAGAAATCTCTCAGGTTACATAAAAAAAACGTTTACTTGTGTTTTGAAGACGATCAAAAGTCTTATGGGTTTGAAACAACATGAGGGTGAGTAAATGACACTTTTCATTTTTTATTTAACCAACCCTTACGTAGGGCTGTTAGTCGATTAAATTTTTTTATCTAATTAATTACATGATGTGTCGATTAATTAATCGAATTGATCACAAAATACATTTGACTGTGAAAATACCCACAAAAGATTATTTAAAGCTATTTTTGTGTTAAATGAGAAAGTATCAAGTAGCCATTACAAATTGTAGCTTTAGAAAGAAATATTTTGATTCAACACAAAATTTATTACACATAAACATTTAAGTTACAACGGCCTAACATAAACTATAGAACATAAAAGAAGATCATTACAGAGAAAACATCTCAGTATTTTTTGTTCATACAATGAAAGCCATTGGTAACCAAAACAGCTTTGTTACCAACAGTCTTCAAAATACCTTCTTTTATGTTCCACAAAAAAAAAGGTTTGAAACGACATGAGGGTGAGTAAATGATGACAGAATTTACATTTCTTGGGTGAACTGTCCCTTTAATGTTTTTATTTTTATTATGTATTTTTTAAAGGGTGGTTGATTGCGATTTCACTTTTTTAACGTTAGTTAGTGTGTAATGTTGCTGTTTGAACATAAACAATATCTGCAAAGTTACGAAGCTGAAAGTTCAATGCAAACGAAGATTTCGCCTTTTGAAATTCTGGCAGTTTAATGCCTACAAAACGGCTCGTAGGGACTACAATGAGTTACTTCCCGGGTTTGTGACATCACAAACCCAGACAAACCTTGCCTTTAATGAAATGATACTCTAAATAAGAAACTAAATCTGCCAGCAGGTGGCGGTAAATGTCTTCATTCGATTCGTTCAAATGGCTGATTCATTCAGGAATGAAGTAAATGGCTCTCTTGGGGGCTAGTGCGTTAACTGTGTTAAAATATTTTAATTAAGTTAACGAGTTAAATTGACAGCCCTAGTTTTTAGACATTGAGCTTTTAATATTTTTGTGGTGTCATCATCCAAACCCTCTCTTCGTTCCCAGTAAAATCATCTCCCTCAAAGAAGAGTCGAAGTGGCTGTTCGAGTGTTGTGAGACGGCTTCCGATGGGAAGCTCTGCTTCTGCTTCCGGTGGACAGACAGTCGCTGACGCCAGACTGGTGTACCATACTCACCTTAACCAGACCGATGCAGAAGGAGAGAGTGGTGAGTAATGCAACCCAGACTATTTACATCATCCCTGGTTTTGAATTTTCTTCATTCTTTAAAGGTGTAATGTGTAATATTTACATCGATCTATTGACAGAAATGCAATATAATATACATAACTATGTTTTCAGAGGTGTATAAAGACCTTACTTAATGAACCGTTATGTTTTTATTACCTTAGATTGAGCAATTTATATCTACATACACCGCGGGTCCCCTTACATGGAAGTCGCCACCATGTTTCTACAGTAGCCCTAAGCGGACAAGCTGCTCTACAGAGCGCGTTTCGTCACTTTGTTGTTCTTGCGAATAAAACACTGACACAATGATGAACAAGTACATTACTATTTGCAATAATATCGATTTATTGAATAATTAAGTAAATATAATTCCTTAATTTACTTTTGTAAAGAAATCTCATTGCTCTCTGCTGTCTTTACCGACGACATCTTAGTCCTGTATCAGCCGCCGTAGCAGGGTTGCCAGGTTTTCACAACAAAACCCGCCCAATTGCTACGATTGAACTAGCCCAAACTAGCCCAATCATGTTTCAAGGGGGATCCCCCGGTAAAAACCACATTCCGGTGGGGTTCCCCTGGTAAAATTCGCATTTTAGGAGCTAAATATCATGTTATTGGGGTCGCTTAAACCCGCGGACGTGAAAAACAACCCGCGGCAACAGTGTTAAAGTAGCCCAATTCCGCGGGAAAACCACGGACTTGGCAACACTGCACCTTAGCTTCTCTAAAGGGAAGGGGTGAGCGGGGGACTGAGCCGTTGGTTGCAATTCGCAACCTCACCCCTAGATGCTGCTAAAATGTACACGCTGCACCTTTAAACAACAGCTGGGATACTGCAATAAATCATCCTAACCTTATATAAAATTTTAAACAACAGACATCACTGTAAAACATTGTGAATTTATTTGATGAGTTGAGAGAGATCCATTTTTTTTAAATATTCTTGTATATGACTTTCGTCTGTGATTCAGATGTACTGTGAATCGGCTTTTATCGTGTACTTCCTTTGGAGCATAAATCAAATCATAACACCCTGTGTGATTGTTGTTCTCAGGCATGCAGTCGGGCAGACCAGACCTGCTTCCACAAACTGATCCTTTGGCTGGAAGCTCCAGTGAGTTTGCCGCAACAAATCTGCCCAACTCCTTACCTGGCAACACAGGAATCACATCATCTTCACCTCCTCAAAGGTACCTCCACACATCATCTTAATCTGTCACTGTTTCTCTGTTTCTGTGTAGTTTATTGCAGTCTTTCTTCTCTTGTTCTGTCTATGGCACGGCCTCATTAACAGGTCAGTAGGGGTGGAGGTGCACAAATCTGCAGTCGTTGAGCCTGACAACAGCGCCCCTCACAGGTAAAACTGAAAACACACTTCTCATCTCACCACCTCTCATGATTAAACTGTTAAAGGGACATTCTTTTTAAAGAAATTAATACTTTTATTCCGCAAGGATGCATTAAATCGATCAGAACTTTCATTTCTATAAACTTTCTATTTATTAAATGCACAATATGTAAGATATTTGTAATAAAATATACAAAACCACTTGCACAGTGTGATATATTTCATGCAGTTGTGTACTTGCGTTATTCCAGAAGTTCCCAAGTATTTGCAAATCATATTAGAATGATTTCAGAAGGATCATGTGACCCTGAAGACTGGAGTAATGCTGAAAATTCAGCTTTGCCATCACAGGAATAAATTGCATTTTACAATATATTAAAATGAAAAACATTTTTATTGCAGTAATATGAATGTTTTTACTGTGTTTTTGATCAAATAAATCAGAGACTTCTTTCAAAAACATGAAAATCTTACCGACCCCAGAACTTTTTTAGGGTGTGTATATAATGACAAAATGTTAATATGTTCTGTCTTCTTCAGCACTGGAGCCGAATGCTTAGATGAGCAGTTAAGTAACGAAGATGCTGTTTCTCTCAAAGACATCATCCCAGAAACTGACATTTGTTTTGTAAGTTTTAAATGAACAAATTTACATATGTACCTAAAATATTTTCATTCTGATCCCAAAATTTTGTTTTATTAAAGCCCAAATGCTTTCTTTTCTCACAGTAAGAGCATAGCGACGACTGATGACACAAGAGCAGAGCATTTGAACAAGAGATGGACACAGAACCTCAAAAGAGATGAGGGGTGCTTCTGAGCGCTGGTATGATGGGGGTTTCCTCTCAATGGGAGCTTTGGAAAGAACTTCAGGTCCTCAGCACAATGAAATATGTTTTAAAAGTGAGTGAGAGACAGAAAGAATGAAGGAAAGCCACTGAGCGAGGAGTTTTAGTGGCTCTTTCTCTTGCACAGGAAATGCTGCTAAAACCAATTTTAACAACAAAATTATTCGAAAAGGAATGTTAGTATCTCAGTCACACTCTTTACTGCCTTTGTTCGCTCTTAAACATTTAAAACAGAGCAAGCAGGATGCACAAACTCTTTAGTTTTCTCTTCCTAACACGTTACACAGTTGGCACCACTTTATAGTATTGTTGGAGGCTATGTTGCATAAATCTTTATTAGCATAGATCTTTATTTATATAGGCCTTTAAACCTTTTGATTCTCTCTGAACTGGTGTGACTCGGACTAATGGCTGCTAGCGCTCCGGTACACTTATCTCAAAAGGCATTATGCTGTGACGGAGTGTGTGTCAGAGATAAGCAGACAACTTATATTTCTCAGTGGCTTCTGTATATACATATATGAAGGTTAATTTTGTTATGACTTTTTTTTTTTGAGTAAATCTGATGAGAGCATCTCATTGGTGAGTTTTCCAGCTCTTTCTGTGTTTAAGACAGCATGCGTCCTAAGAGCAACAAAAAAAAAAAGACCAAAAATGATTCCCACTTTGTAAAAAGTAAATGCATTTGAATGTTACAGATAAAATAGCTTTGTATATTCAAAATATCCCACATCCAGGCTTAGTATTTCATGTTTAGTTGCTTTACGATTGCCTTCTTTGAAGTAGATTTAGATTTTTCTCTCATTTAATTCAGATGCTTGGTTTGCTTTTGAAGCTCTATGCATCTGTCTTTTGAATTTAATTTTTTCTTCCACTGCCCATACTCCTCCATACTGGACCAATCAACTGTCAAGATTGCTTGCATGCCATATTCTCTCTTTTCAATGCACATATTGCTGCCATGCCAAGGGTCCCCTAATATCTGTGTGCTATGTTTGTGTATATAGTTCTGTAAATATTCATTCTGTGTTCCTGTACGTTTTAAAACGCTACTAATGTGCTCCTGTGGCACAGCAGCTAACTTGCGAATAGTCTGACTTGAATGATTGCTGTTCCATGATGTCTTCCAATCATCTGCCTTAATGCAGCTACTGAGAGCAACGCGTTGATATAAAAACACTCATTTCTGCTGGATACAGAAATTACATGGCCTCCAAACACTTGGGCCAACATCGAAATGCTTATAAAAAATCATTTCAGATCTACCCATCACAGATGATTTTGATACATAATGCATGTTTTGTTTCGTTTTTTACTGGCCCTTTCATAAAAACCTAAGCATTTTCTATCATTATACATGATGTGGTGTTTAGACAAGACTAAAGCAATTTGAATTTAAGGAATGTAAGCTGAATTTATATTCTTCTAACTGTTTGTACTGTCGATGGATGCAAAATCTTAAGGTCATTCATTGCTGATTTCCAACTGACAGGATGTAAAATCCTTTATAACCATGCAAATGTTCTTTAATACAGTTGTACTTTTAGACTCGCCCTGAGATTAAATAATCTAAGTGAAGAAAAAAAAAAAGAAAGAAATGGACACTAATGGGCTTTACTAGGGCACATGTGAACACTTTAGTTTATAGAGGAGCTGGAAAGAAAACCCGAAGAGCCTTCAGCTCAATAAAAGCTCTCAATGAAGCTGCCTTTCTTTTATCGCTTCCATTTGGCTCATAACATTTAACAGAGGAAATGGGTTTTAATGGATCTATCATTTGACAGGCATTACTTACAGTTTCTCTTTGGCTGTTACTCAAACAATAGTCTGAGCTGATGTCAGGGTTGGATGCTTCTGTTACACACAGATCTGAGACTGATACCGCAGTCTTGAAGTATTTAGATGAAGGGCTGACTGTAGTCTTGAACAGTATTGTGTTGTCCCAAATAAAACAGCCGGTGAACCGCATCATGCAGGTTTGGGACCGATGTGATCTTTTGCAGAGGATTTGCTTTTGCAGACCTGAAGAAAATGCAGATAGAATATGCAAAGGAAGTAAATTGATTGTCCGTCTTTCACAAGACTGTATTGAAGAACTTTTCTATACAGCTTCACAGTGGATGCAGTATTTATGCATATTCAAGTCGTTTTTAAATGTTTGTTAAAAATCAAATTGGTAAAAATGTGTACCTGTGGACAGAAGTTATAGGGTTTGAGTTAGTGGGTGTTGTGAAGTTAATTTTGTTTTGTCTTGCTCTTTTGGTTTGAAGCATTTCAGCGACTTTTTCCAAGTCTTTGTCGGATGTTACACATTAAATCATGTTACAGAACATTTTGATAATGCACCTTAATGCTGCACAGAACTAAAGTTTAATCTAGAAAAAATCTACCCCACAACAAGCTAATATCACTAAAAACTAGATCTAAACTTACAGTTTGTAATTTGAAAGTAGATCGAGGTTTAAGGATTTGTATCAACGTCGGTTTTGGCACTGATTTTAAAATCAAATATGTGCAATTTGCTATTTTCCTGGCATGTTTTCTTTTTTGGGTCACACTGCAGGTTTTTGACACTATTTCTAAACTTTAATCATTTGTGAATGTCGGAAAATACCTATATTAACATTTAACTCCAGAGAGCTACAGTACAGTATGATTAACAATGCCCTGATTAACATTTTTACCTTTTATAGTCAATTTCTATCCCCTCTCTGTTCAAAGTTCTTAGGTCTATAAAGATGTTACTTTTATAAAACCTCGCACACAGTGTTCGTATTCATTTCACTTTCCAATGTGGTGCTTTTATCTGCTCTGTGTAATGCCTCTTTTTATTGGACCTTTTAGATTGGAGGTTCTAAAATGTATAACTCAAACTGATCTTTGATCAGCTCTCAGTGGCTTCGTTTCACAGTTGGCTTGTGGGGTAGTTTTCTGGAAGCTCAGGAGTCTCTAAGCACACGGTATAAAGTTTATATAGTTTTTTTTTATTTACTCTAAATAATTTAGGCCTCACTCTCATTTCTGCTTCTGTGTGGGGGGTTTATTATTTATTAATTTGTGTTTATGGACTCAAGACACAACAATCACTGCTTTTCTCTGACCAACACTCAGTACTGATTAATTTTTCTATTATTATGGGTAAGAATGATGTTCCGCTCCTCTAAACCACACTAAAACATCTTAACATCTTGACTTTAACATCCCAAAAGGGAATCTTTTGGTCTGGAAATAATACAAATGTAATGAATATGAAAGTTAAATTGTGAATGCAATGTGAGCAGTCAAATAGAGACCGCTTTTTCATATGCTTTGTCCAGTGTTTGTATTAATACAGAGAAACAGATATTTGCACAACAGACACATCAGTCGTGCACAGTGCACACCAGATTAAATGCTGGCAAAGTAGACACTAAACAGACAACCAACCTACTGCAATATGAACGTTTCTGCTATGTATTTCAGTTATTGTATTTATTAAGAAATATCTTTCTCTCTTCTTCTTTTTTTACTTTGTGGACCTGTATGGATTTTGAATTCTCTCTATGTACCGTAGATGACTGTATGTATTATGTAATCTGGCAGAATGCCATTTCTGTTATCTAAGTAGTATGTATTTTATTTCAGGTCAGAGGGAAGATGTTGACAATATAATCCATTTTTGTATTTTATGTGTTTAGGGTATGTCCATGATAAATATTCCTATTCGTTATAAATCTGTGAAAGCTGTTCCTCAGCTTTTCTACATGTGAATGTTTGGCGGTGTCAGAAACAATGACTGACAACCGTAAGTGCTTCGAGGTCTATATTTTTACCGGGCCTGTATAAAACTTGTATATAATATGTATATAAGCAAGTCACGGAAATGCCTTTTTTTTTTTTTTTTGTGCGGTGTTTGCAGCCTGTTTCTCCAACCATCTTTCAGTGATGTGGTGATGTTGTTTTTTCACATTGTCTTTCTGATTTAAAAAGAATAAAATATTTTCCAAACCACTGTTTTCCCCTATATTTGTGATTTTTTTTTTCTTCCTCATTCAGAATTAAAATAAACTTACACCAGACATACACTGCAAATATAAGTGAAATAAAAACCTTTATCAGAAATGAATACAGGTTTTACAAAAGTTAGTTGAGAATCAAATAGAAAATTCGTTTTGAATCAGACATTATAAACTACGTTTCCCATAATTCCTACCGTTCTACTTTAACCAATGATCGTTCACATACGTGCTTACGTCACGTAGAGCGACAGAAAATTGTCAAGATGGTGCTTGAAAGTACCATGGTTTGGTAAGAAAAAATACTTTATATTCTTCAAACATCAGATATAGTTTGACAAACGTGATTTATTTGAATTACGATTCAATTATGTGGGAAATTATGTTTATTGGGGGTGAGAGAAAGGTCGCGTTGAGCAAAAGGACAGTTGTGCAGTTTTCCTTAGTCATGATGGAACATTGATCCTGTAAAACAGCTTCTTTGTGTTGACATGTTATGAGAGAACACGTTAGAAAGCGTAAAGTTGCGATTATCAGGTTGTCATTTTATGAAATCAGTTTCTGTTTAAATCATAAATGGGTTTGGTCCAATTCCTTTGTGATAATCTAGGTTTTTGTATAAGAAACTGTCAAGACAGGATTTAAAATCCTTGCAGTTTGTGTAACGTTACTAAAACGCTTTACTCGTGATGGCGTTCTCAACCTTTTATTAACTGACTGTTATTACATCTTATATTTAAATATTCAGTAGAACACTTACGTGGAGAATTAGACTTCGTACGATCATTTGCAGTTTCATATTTGACAGGATTGTTGAGTGGACATCACAGTGCAAGTTTATTATTTCTAGTGTGGACAACAGTGAGTATATGCGCAATGGAGACTTCTTACCTACCAGACTTCAGGCCCAGCAAGACGCTGTCAACATCATCTGTCATTCAAAAACTCGCAGTAACCCCGAAAACAACGTGGGGCTCATCACTCTGGCCAAGTAGGATGGAGATTTTATTTAGCCTATTTGTTTTATTAACTGGTACAACTGTAACAAAATCTATAGACGATACATACAGGAGATCCACTGTGTGTGTGTGTGTGTGTGTGTGTGTTTTAGTAACTGTGAGGTCCTGACCACGCTGACCCCTGACACGGGCAGGATCCTGTCAAAGCTTCACGCTGTTCAGCCCAGAGGAGTCATCAGCTTCTGTACTGGCATCAGAGTAGCACATGTGAGTCCGTTGGATCATAATTTGTACTTATTTATTTTATTTAATTATCTTGAATGTATTTATTTCTTAATATTTGCTTTGTATGCATATGTTTATTTTTGTCCATGAAGTCCACACTTTATCATTTACATGACCAGTTTTCTGCTCTCTGCCTGAGCCTTATGTGTTGAATTTTGCTACTGTAGCTTTTCAGCCTTATATCATCTGGACATATTTTGCTATGACCTATTTGAATGTGAAATGGTATTAAATTAAACCCTTTGGAAGGTTATGCAAATTTGGAGTTATTTTGACAACTTCATTTTTGGACTAGTGAGGAACTAGAAATTTTAAGTTTAAGTATTACATGATTTTTACATGACATTTTACGGTTTTATTTCAAAAGATTGAAAATAGTAAAATTTAAAATGTGTGTGTGTGTGTGTTAGAAATGTTTTTAGAGAAGGGTGCATATTTCAGTATTTGTAATTTAAAATTGAATGTTTAATTTATTGTCTTGCTTGCTGTTTTATATATAATATATATATATATATATATATATTTCCTTTAAAAAATATCATCATGGATGTATTAAATCAATCAAAAATGGAAGTAAATACTTTTACATTTTTACAAAGATTTCTCTTACAGATCAAGCAGTTCTTTTGAAATTCCCATTCATCGAAGAATCATTAAAACTGATCACAGTTTACACAAAAAATTGCACAACTGTTTTCAACACTTGTAATAATAAGAAATGTTTATTGAGCAGCAAATCAGCATATTAAAATGATTTCTGAATGGTCATGTGACACTGAAGGCTGCTGAAAATTCAAATGGCAATGAATAGGTTCTTTTCATTGCTATTAAAGCGAAATAACTGAACATAAACATAGGAGCCTGTGTGTGTGTATATATACACACTGGAATTAGAGTATGTGTGTGTGTATATATATATATATATATATACACACACACACACACACACACTCTCTCTAATTCCACTTATTCCATCTGTCGCTTTTGAATAATTTAATGTGTCCTTGCTGAATTAAAGTATAAATTTCTTTATTTTTTAAAATCATACTTACCCCAAACATTTTAATGGTAGTGTACCATTTATTTTTTCTTTTTCAAAATGTCATATAATTTATATTATTGTGTAATATTTAGTTATGCTTCCCATTCTCTCCGCTCCTTCTGTTTCACAGCTGGCATTAAAACACAGACAGGGAAAGAACCATAAGATGAGGATCATTGCCTTTGTGGGAAGCCCTGTGGAGGACCAGGAGAAAGATGCAAGTTATTTTTGTCTTGATGTATCTTGAGTCTATATTTACAGAAGGCCAATACAATATGTTATCACCTGCTCATTTGTGCCTCCAACCTGTCTCACTCAGTTGGTGAAGATGGCAAAACGTTTGAAGAAGGAAAAAGTCAGTGTTGACATCATTAACTTTGGAGAAGAGGTATTTATCACACAGTCCTCCAGAATGTACTTTTCCATGTAATTTTACTCTCCGCACCATTGAGTTTTTGCCCTTTTGCGTTGCAGGAAGTCAACACGGATAAGCTGACCGTGTTTGTGAACACCCTAAATGGAAAAGAGGGCGTAGGCTCTCACCTGGTAACGGTGCCTCCTGGCCCAAGCCTGGCAGATGCTCTTCTGTCCTCTCCTATCATGGCTGGTGAGGGTGGCACCATTATGGGCCTGGGTGCCAGTGACTTTGAGTTTGGAGTGGATCCCAGCGCAGACCCTGAGCTCGCTCTGGTGAGTAGCACACAGGTTTTATAGGACAAACTTCTCGGCTAGAGATTTTCCACATGATAAATGTCTGTTTTTCCACGCGTCTTTGTTCCAGGCTCTGCGTGTGTCGATGGAGGAGCAGAGACAGAGGCAGGAGGAGGAGGCTCGCCGGGCAACAGTGGCTTCAGCTGCAGAGGCTGGAGTCTCATCACCCACTGCAGATGGTGAGAGTTTAGATGATTATTGAAGACTAGATGGGTTTTCTGGACACCTAGACTAGGGGCTCCTTAAAGCAGCTGGAAGTTTGTGGAGTGATATACACTATAGTTCAGAATTTTGGGATTGAAAGAAATCTCTTATGTTCAGAAATACAGTAAAATCAGTAATATTGTGAAATATTAAAATTTCAAATAATTTCAAATTTATTCCTGTGATGCAAAGCTGAATTTTCAGCATCATTACTGCAGTCTTCAGTGTCACGTGATGCTTCAGAAATCATTCTAGCATGCTGATTTGCTCAAGAAACATTTCTTCTTCTTATCATTATTATTATCAGTGTTTCATGGGAATTCTGTGTTTAATATGACCTGAGGTCTTGTGTGCTTCTGTTAAGAGTCTGAAAATGCTCTGCTGAAGATATCGGCGGCTCCTGCTCTGCCTGATTTCAGCCGCATGACGGAGGATGAACAGATCGCGTACGCCCTACAGATGTCCATGCAAGGAGGAGGTCTGTCTCTCTACTCTTCATAAATTCTTATTCTTCATCGTCTTAATTAGTTTTTCTTCCCTTTTGACTTATTTCTTTTACACAAACAAATGTCTTTGTGCACAGAGTTTGGTGGTTCAGAGGCCATGGATGTGGACACTGGTGCAGCAGCAGACAGTGAAGCTCCTAAGGTGTGTTTCCCAGCTCTCTACTTTTAGAGAGGAGATCAGAATTTAATGTTGTGGGAATAATCGAAAGCAGCTACATATTCTTCATACCCATTATTCAGAAGCTATTGTGAAACAGCCAAAACCACATGAAACAGAAACGCTGGAACATTACATGTAATTAGATTTGCATGTACAGAAGGAAATACCAGTGGTTGCAAGGCAGTTTTAGGAAAGTTATGTTTTAGTCTTTGTTTCTGTCTAAATGAAATGCTGTATGAGGTCCGCTCTGATCCGGCCATACTATAATAATTAGGTACTGCCTTTAATTTGTCAAGTGGTTCATTTATAATCACATACAACTATGTCCAGGTCAAGGGCATAACAGTGACAATTTATACTCTGTTTGTGTGTTTTGTAGGAGGATGAGGAGGATTATGATGTGATGCAGGATCCAGAGTTTTTGCAGAGTGTGCTGGAGAACCTTCCAGGTGTCGACCCCAACAACGAAGCCATCCGTAGTGCCATGGGCTCTCTGGCATCCCAGAACAGAACAAAACCACCCGAGGGCAAGAAAGATGATGAGAAGAAATAGAGGAATAAGAAGCGTCTGGACGGAGGACAAAGGCAAATAAAACTGATGAAAGGTTTCCAACCTGGATGATGGATAGAGATGAACACAGAATTCATATATGATTAAAAACAAGCAAGAATTAATGATTTAACGAGTTTTTTTTTTTTTTAAACAAATGTTAGAGGGAGGAACAACAGAACAGACTAACCACAAAGAAAACTCAAAAAATACTTCTTACATGTAATTGTGAAAAAGTGACATCTGATCTGTAACATTTGGTGAAGCAAAAAAAAAAAAGTCAGACAACGCTACTTCAAATAGTAGTGCTCGCTTCAGTGTTTATTTGCTAGTTATTTCATGCCACCCAACTATAATTTTCCTTGTGGTTTTTGGATAACTTCTTGTAAAGGTTTCTCTGTCGATTTTGTATCACTATTTTAGTTCCTTTTGTAATAAAGGGCTTTGTTATGGTTAAGGGAATCTGAAGTATAGCATGTTATTACATGTTTTTTTTTTTTACTGCATTTACCCCTTTTTGATTTAAATTGAGAAAATATTAAATTATGAAATCCCTTTGGATTTTATAACTCATAATTGCTCAAAAACAGTCCAAATTGTTTAAACCTACATATTTAATTCTAATCAGAACAACATAAATATTACCATGAAAAGTTTTTAAACAGAAATTAATTTTACCTGCATAAATATTCAGATGAAAAAACAAAATCAGCAAAATTCAGTCCCAATGTGTGAAATGTGAGGAAAATGCTAAATATATTTAACAAAAGTTTTTTTTTTTTTTTACCCCTAATGGTACTCAGTGATTTTGTTCTCCCATGTCACACATTACTGTTGTATAAACAGATTTGGTGCTACATTTTATCAAACTGATCATTATTATGTTATACATATTATGCAGCATTTTTCTTTAAAACAGTACTTAACAGCTTCTGGAAGCCCAAATTGGGTGAAGTGCGTTGATGCGGCCAGAAATCTGTCCTGATGTTTTGATGGACGATGAGATCCATCCCTGCCTCTGCAGGTCATGAGGAACACCGCATGCGGTGTGAGCGGAGAACCTAGCTCTCACAGAGAAGAAAAGTCTCAAGAACAAGCCGACTCAGCACTCTGAACTCACTGATGTACCGCAGTACAGAGAGCGAGAGAGAGGATGGGGCTGTGGAAACATGCTGTGCATCATCCTCCTCCTCCTCCTCCTCCTCATGAGTTCAGCTACAGCAGCGACGCAGTGCAGGAGCGCAGCGCGCGCACATCCACCGCACTAACCTACAAGACTGAAGAATCCGGCGACAGCACACACAATTAACCCGCGCTGCATTCGATATGTAAAGTTTCTCTGATTAATGTCTACATTTTGAACGTTTCAGTGAGCAAACCGGTCATCATAAATCCGTTACTGGAGTTCCCTCAAGGCGAAATTGAACATTTACACATGCGCTCGTGCGCCCTCACGGTCCAGCACGTGCTGCAATAATGCGCCACTTTCACTGATGACGCGCACCAGTCTCTTCATACTCATTTGAACGTCGCTACCTCTTCTTCGCTATTTTGATTTTAATTGTATAACCTTTTGATTGTTCTCCCTTCAGCGAGGCACTCTGAAACAGCTGCTCGAGAATGTAAGTATTTGCCCAGACTTTATATTATGCTGTTTTTGTTACAATTATAGGCCTATGAAATATAAATTAACTTGCGCTTTTTATCCTTACATACAGTAACTTTGTAAACCGTTTTCAATCTTAATTTCCCAAGAATTCAGGCTATCTTAAATTAGTTTTGATGTGTTGGGGATTTGTTGTCATGTAGGTGTACAAGATTATGATTATAGGCTACAGTGAGGTGTCTCTTAGCACCAACGACGGTCATGATTACATTTATATCATTTTACATTTTTGATAGACCAAGACATAAGCTAGACCTCCTTGGTATTGAGGCTAATAAGGATAAAAATGTATAAAATAAACTCTTTATATATATATATTTGTTTATGAACCTCATATCATATAGGCTACATGATTGGTATGGGACAGTGAAAAACTCATATCGGTTGAATAATTAATATAGTAGTTAAACATTGTTAAAATACAGTGGCAACATTTGAGGTTTTACAGATTTAACTTTATTTTACATTTTAAAACCGTATTTCATTAACTGATTTAGCTATACCAACCCATTTCAGTACTGAAATCTGTTTAATAACTTTGTAATACACTGATAACCACCAAAAGCAAGTGGTGATGAGAAAGTCATACAATGAACCAAAATTCATCACAAACAGCTCTTGCACAAGCTGAGAAGGACATACAGAAAGTGCACGGTGTCATTCACACAAACACTAAACGCCGTCATGGTAACACATGAAACGGAAATAATGCAATAAACATTCATTTAACAACATTAGATGTAACATACAACCCTAATGTACAAACCTGATTAGAAAAAACCAAGACGACGCACAGTTATTTCTACGAAAAAACATCAAATGTGAAATGTAACGCAGGGAATTCTGGGAATTTATGGGTTTTCTCTGTAAATTATATATTCGATCTTCACTTCTCTGTTTTTTCACCGTATATAGTAGGGGAGCTTACTGTTAACCAACACTCTAAAAAGTGCTGGGTTATTTCAACCCAACTTTGGGTCAAATATGGACTAACCCAACCGTTGGGTTAAATTTTTACATTCAGTTTTTAACCCAAAAGTTGGGTTAGTCCAAATTTGACCCAAAGTTGGGTTGAAATAACCCAGCATTTTTTAGTGTGAATGAATAGGTTTTTACGGTAGCATTTTTACAGTCTTTTACCATTAAAATCACTGTCATTTTTTTTTTCAGAAGCCATACTCTGTGTTTGACACACTGTTACTGGAACATCAAACCATAACTTGTGCACGAGTCAGCAACTTTTTGAAAGTGTCATGGTTCTCTTTGGATGTTCAGGTCTGCTGCAGATGATGCCAACCCAGCAGGTGCTCCTGGAGGAGCAGGTCCTCCTGCTCCGCCTCCAAACACCACCAGCAACCGCCGACTGCAGCAGACACAAGCACAAGTGGAGGAGGTGAGTATATGTTTGTGTGTAAAGAGTTTATGGACCAAAAAATGAAACGATTATATATGCACAGGACAGCTTGTATGGATAGGTTGTGCAGTTTTACTCATACAGCATTTCAAATAACCAAAATACAAATCAGTGCTATTGCAACACAAGTATTCAGTGTCGTTCTTTCTTGTCTCATGTCTTTCTGTGGTTGTGGTCTGCAGGTGGTGGATATCATGCGTGTGAATGTGGATAAGGTTCTGGAGAGAGACCAGAAGCTCTCTGAGCTGGACGACAGGGCAGATGCTCTACAGGCCGGGGCGTCACAGTTCGAAAGCTGTGCTGCCAAACTGAAGAACAAATACTGGTGGAAGAATTGCAAGGTGAGTCATTGTGACTGCATGAAATCAGCTCAGCGCTCATACAGGATATTACGTATGACTTCATCATTTTAATTAATAATTACGCGAGGGGATTAGATGGAACACCAAATTTAACAGGAAATTATATGATGCACTCCAGTGTTTTCATTGTTAGAGCTAAAAAATAAAATACAAATAGTGCTAAAACCAAATGAAATGTAAATATAAATATTAGATGACAAACTTGCACTTAAAAACTATCTAATAATTAAGCTTAAGTTGATGTACTAAAATACTAAAACTGAAATAAAAATAAAGCTATATATAAATATTTAAAGAAAAATAAAGCACATAGAATGACAGCACATAACAAACTTAAACTGAAAATAAAAACAAATTCAAAACATTAATAAATGCTATAAAAGTATACAAGTAATACTAAAATAACACTTATACTCAGAGCTCCATATAGTGTGAATGAACTAACATGCAGGAGTAAATAGGTCAGTGCTTATTGCTCATGCTATGCTCAGTGATTTTGTTCTGTACAGCTGCAAGTGTTAATTAGTTAATTAGTGTAAACTGGAGCCTCTGGGTTTTGATAATCACCTAGTTGCAGAGAAACATGGGACATATCAGTAAAGCTTTTTGTGTACTGTCTGCAGGATAAAAATCCCAGTATAATTTTCGTTATTATGGCACTAGTGATCTGTCAAGTGAGCTGCCTTGTTAAGGATGTTTTTAAGATTCATGTTTAAGGATTTCTTTTAAAATGCGCTATGAGATGAAAAAGTAGGTTGTTTAAGTCAGTGGTTTCCAATCCTGGTGCTGGAGAACCCCCAACAGTGCATACAGTGTTGCCAGATTGGATGGACAATTACTAGCCCAAAAGCTCACCAAAAACCACCCACTCCAACAAAAGAGCCCAAAACTTTAACTGTCAAGATTATGTGATAGAATATTAGTGCCATGTCAATCAAGTGCCATGGTTAAGAACCATTTTTAACTCCTTAAAACAAAATAATGATGAAAAAATAATATAAAAATAGATCAGTTTCCCAGGAAAATGGATAAAATCAGGTCAAATATAGTAAATAGAATGACCAAATATGACTAAAATATGCAGGCAGACTGTCAAAATGCAATCAAGAAATTAACCGATACCCTTGAAAAAACACATGCATCATTTTCAATGTCCACAGTCAGAATAAGCCAAATTATGCAATAATAAGCCAGAATAATGCAAAAAGTGCCCAATATAAGTGATCGGAATAAACAACATAATTTGCAGGTATTTCACACACCATGACAGTCAAAACTGTGTCATTCATTGATACATACTGTACGATAATCCGTACAACAACAACAATAATGCGCATACCTTCATGTCGCACTTTAACTTCAGACAGAACTGGAGGAAGTCTTTTGTGAAGTGCATTTAATGATGAAAAAATAATATAAAAATAGATCAGTTTCCCAGGAAAATGGATAAAAGCAGGGCAAATACATTAAAGAGAATGATCAAATATGACTAAAATATGCAGGCAGACTCTGTCAAAATAACAAAAAATTAACCGATACCCATACCCTTGAAAAAACGCATGCATCATTTTCAATGTCAACAGTAAGAATAAGCCAATTGAAATGCAAAAAGTGTCCAATATTACCATTATTTTTGCTCATACTCCCACTTGATTTTTTATGATTACATTTATAAACAATCAGACTTATCATTTTAGCCAGGCATCTGATAAAATGAGCAAATTCCATAATCCCATGGAGTTATATATTCAGTATGTTTTGTTATTTTTCTTTACTTCAATATTGAGGATTTTTAAGTATTTGTTAGCATATTCTTGAATAATATGATGATTCCTGATACTCAGGATGCTGGATAATTTTATGTTTTGCTTGCTGACTTCCTTCTTGTATTGTAGATTGAGTGATAAATTGTGATTTTAACAATTTTTTGTCCTTCCTCAGATGATGATTATTATGGGTGTCATTGGCGTCATCTTCATTGGAATCATTTTCTGTGAGTTTTGAATCATTTGAATGGCTCCTTTGAAGCATTTGTTGTTACATTCAGAGCACATTATCATCAGACAACTTTGCCGTTATCTCCTATTATCTAATTACACTAGGTTGTTACAAAGGCAATTATATATTATTATATTGTCTTATAAAACAATTATAAAGGTACAATTACCTATTATTAAAAATGAAACCATTTGTAATTCTTTGAGCTGAAATTTGGATTATATTTTTACATTTGCCTGGATATTTTAAAAGGCATCAGTGCTGGAGACCAGCCATCTATGTGAGTTTGTGTGTTTAGAGGCCAGACTGGACCAGCACCGCACAAGCTCAATAATTCATCGTTACACTCATTACAGTGAATTATTCAGTTGTGTGCAGCAGTGCAGGATGAGGTAAAGAAACACATTTTGCAGTGGACCTTCGTCACACTCTTCTCCTTTTATCTTTCCTTCTCTAGTGTATTTCTTCTCTTGAGCCGATCCACCTGCAACGAACGAGAAAATGAATGAGTGAATGAAGAAAACACAATCATGAGCTCTGCCCATTTTCCACATCCTTCTCGCTTCAATTTCAAGGTCTCTCCATTTAGTCATTTTGCACCTTGGTGTGACAGTAATACACAGAAATCTGCTCTCCTTTATCCTCTAGCAGAATGAGCACATTTCTGTTTCTCTCTCTCTCTCGTTCCCTCCCTTCCAGAATCTCCTGCATTACTGAAATGTTCTGCAGACACGCAGACATTCATACATGAATGCACAGAGAGAGCAGAAGAAAAACAGACTAAGAATAAGTGGGAGAGGTCAGGAAGAAAGAAATGTGGTGACTTGTGAAAGGAGAGAGAGTGCTCATGGGAGGAGGCGTACATTACTGTTTAAAAGTTTGAGGTCAGAATTCTTTTTTTTTAAAGAAATGAATACTTTTATTCATCAAGGATGCATTGATTTGATCAACAGTGGCAGTGTCAGACATTCATAATTTTAAGAAAAAGTTCAAATTTTTAAGCATGGTTTCCACAAAAACATTAAGAAAGACATTGATAATAATATGAAATATTTCTTGAGCACCGAATCAGCACATCATGTCACACTGAAGACTGAAGTAATGATGCTGAAAATTCAGCTTTGATATAATAGGAATAAATTACAGCTTAAAATATATTAAAATAGAAAACCGTTATTTTGCATTGTAATAATATTTTACAATATTACTGTTTTTACTGTATTTTTGAGCAAATTAATGCTAAGAAAAAATGGGTCACATGATCCTTCAGAAATAAGTGTAATAATGCTGATCTGCTGTTCAAATTAAACTTTTGATGACAAACATTTTAATTACAGATTGAAATATATTAACCCCTTAACTGTCACCCCCCATTTTTTTAAATAGGCATTAAAGTGCACTACCCAAACTTAAATTGTTAGAATTCATGAACACTTTGGAATACAGAGGAAAAGTTGGTCTCTTTTTAAAGAAGACAGTCAGCAGATTATTGCAGAAGAAAAAAAAAATATATATAAAAAAGTTATAGAAGTTTAAATTTACTGTAAAGAAAATGCACTGTAAAATTATTATATTTTATGTAAAATAAATATTTTACATAACAGGTTTTACTCTAAAATTGCAAAAAAAAAGAAAAAAAAAAAGTAAAGCCTTATGTCTAAATAAGTTATGTTCCAAATTTGAAGTTGATATGAAAACAATCGAGGTTTCTGTGAGATTTTATTTAGGGCGTTATACCACAAAAAGCCACCGGGTGCCATCCAAACTCCATGAAATTTTTTAATGCATTTTTCTGTCACAACTATCTAGATTTCTCTGTCAGTATTACGTCTATCAAAATACAACCACCAAATATGGAATCCTGAGACTCAGACCTTTCCAGTGATATGTAAATTTTTTTTATGCATTTTTCTGTCACAACTATCTAGATTTCTCTGTCAGTATTACGTCTATCAAAATACAACCACCAAAATAACCACCAAATATGGAATCCTGAGACTCAGACCTTTCCAGTGATATGTTTTATGTCAGGATTATAAAAAGTTTTGATTGTAAAAGTCCTTAATGCATTTTGTAATATGACACTTGACACCGCCCGCTAAGGGGGAGGAGACCGCCAAAATATTTTAAAGTACCATTTCCAACGTAATGTCAGATTTCAAAATTGTTTTCACAGGATGAATCTTGGGCTTCTAAGCTTTCAAACGGTAAATAATTTATGATGATTACTAAAATATTTGATAGAGAAAAATGACAACAAAATAAAAGAGTGCCAAGCGTCCCACAGGTGGGACGGTGACAGTTAAAATAGAATACAGTTATGTTAAATTGTAATAATATTTCACAATATTACTGTTTTCACTGTTTTTTTTTGATCAAATGAATGCAGCCTTGGTGAGCATAGAGAACATTTTAAAACAAACTTTTGAACGGTAGTGTATGTAAGAGAGAATATGTGTGCGTTTGTAAAAATGTGAGAGTGAAATAGATGAGTAGTAAAGTCAGGTAAACATCATTTCTGTCTCTGTTTTGCCAAAGCTTTCTCATCTGACCTTTTGGAGAACTTTTATAAATTGATATTGTCATAATCTATCCCCGCAGGTTTGCCTCTTAACCCATTATCACTACCGCTGTTGCCATTACCCTGTTATCAAGACCAGATTCATGAGCTATCATCCACTGATTTTTATTCTGAATGTGTATGTGTGCTTAAGTTTCAGACATTTCCAGAAAAACAGCACAAATAGACAGATCAGTTATGAGAATAGCTGTGTTTTTTCTACCTACTGTATAGGTGCACAGGTTATGAAAATAAACAGTAAAAATGCATACCGAAACTGTACGCATATAAGGTATTAAGAATAAGATGTTCATGTGTTTCTTTTGACTTGCATGGCAGAATAATCCCACTGTTCGACTGTTTTATGTGTGATCTGTTCATTTATTACTATTAACTGCCTGTTATAAGCCTCATTTTCCTGTTCTGAGGAAAAGCCTCATCTGGGAACAAGATGTGAATGCTACAAGCCTGCCAAAATGTACTGAAACAAAGGTACAGAAATGGACAGATAATCAATTCAAACAGAGCATAAACAATAATCTATACTGCCATGCAATTTACAACAGTTGGTTTTCACATTCCTTTGTCAGCACAGAACTTTATAGGCCTATTTTGTTCTGTTGTTGGAGGATTTAGACATGTCTATTTTTCTCTTGTACGATCAAGTGAACAAATTAAAAATGATGACAAATTATGTGTATAAATATTAGTGAACGCATATACCATAACAGAGGGGTGATGACATTAGCTCTGATGCCAGTGTTAGATTTTAATGGCATAAACAGCATGCTTATATGCCCCTGATACTTTAATGATGCCAATAAAGCCATCGACAAAACCTTATCTGTTGTTTTTATTTCACAAGAAACAAGAAAAATGTACAACATCCAATAGATTAGAACATCGTGAAAAATAGAATTCATTTGACATTTATAGAATAAGTTATGCAAGAATGTTTTTTTTTTACATTTAATGGGGCGGTTGATTGCGATTTCACTTTTTTAACGTTAGCTAGTGTGTAATGTTGCTGTTTGAGCATAAACAATATCTGCAAAGTTAAGGCGCTGAAAGTTCAATGCAAACGGAGATATCGTCTTTTAAAATTCTGGCAGTTTAATGCCTAAAAAAAACGGCTTGTAGGGACTACAACGAGCTACTTCCCGGGTTCACTACGTCACAAACCCAGAAATTTACATAAACCCCGCCCCTGGTAACATAACAAAGGGGGCGGGGCCATGTTGCACTGCTTTAGAGAAGTTTCTGGACAACGTGCAGTACGCGGTTAACGAATCACAACACACTGGGCCAGCTAACAAATCTGAGCGCATTGCTTATTTCTGAGGGAGTGGTATCATAGAAAATGGAAGTCAACCAGCTGTTCAAATCACAATGGAGACAGCGGCTTACAATAAAGGTAAAATATGACAAATAAGGCGTTTTAAAAAAAAATGAACCATGAAGACATGTTACACTGCACCCCATAAACACAATCAAGCCTAGAAAAAAAGCAGTCAACCACCCCTTTAACTTCTATTAACAAATGCACCATGACTGAATGAAAATAAATCCATGTGAAGACAGTGCAGACCGATGAAGTAAAAAAAACAAACAAAAAAAAAAAGTAAGATGGCTCCTTCCAAGAATTCACGCAGAAGACTGGTCCTCAATTCTCTTAGAAGACAAAAAATGATAAAACAATAATCAATAATACATCTAACATTGTCCCTTCACCATCTTGTGGTCTTATATAGTATACACTACCGTTCAATTTTTTATTTTTTTTGAAGGACTCATCACCATAACTGCATTTATTACAGCAAAAATACAGAAAGAAATGAATAATATTGTAAAATATTTTTACAACTTAAGATTATTTTTGATTGATTCAAGATCAAGATCATAATTGAGATTGATTTTTTATTTTATTTGAATATATTGTAAAAGGTCATTTATTCTTGTGATGGCAAAGATTTTTTAGCAGTCATTACTCCAGTGTCCTTCAGAAATCAATCTAATAAGCAGATTTGCTGCTCGAAAAAAAAAACATTTCTTATCATTATCAATGTTAAATATGCTGTTACATATTTTGGTGAAAACAGAATTTTTTCAGGGTTCTTTGATAAATATAGTTTGAAAAGAACAACATTTATTTCAAATGGTATTTTTTTCAATGTATCAATGCAAAAATCTGTACTGTCACGCTTCACTGTCACAATTTAAAGCATCCTTGATCCTTGCTGAATAAAAGTCTTAATTTCTATATAAAAAATCGTTTGAACGGTAATATATATAGCTAGTATTATATATAGTTACATGTTTTAAAAAACTAAACTCACCTGCACCTTTGAAAGCTTGATACAAAAACACCACTGATATCGCCAACATCAAGACTATTGTCCAGAAGGCTGTTTCTGTTCAATTAAAAACAAAAATCAACAGACTTCATGAATGTTTAAATTGAACAGATTTACTAATATCACATCAAATTATTTTGCACATGAAAATTACTTTGAAAGTTGATCACAGAGCAAACTAAGTTTACATCAATCATATTTGTGAAAACATCATGGCTAACTTAACAAAAGATCTCTCACGTGGCTCAGGTTTGTCCACAGTGAGGGTGGCATCTCTCGGTGTTTCTAGGGCGGGATGAGACACCCTACAGGTGATAACGGTCCCCGGTGGGTTTTTGTTGGGCCGTAGGGTGAGGTGAGAGGAGAGGGAATATGTTCCATCACTGTGCTGCCGATGGCTGGAGAGGGAGGATTCTTTTGACAAAGAGACAGGCTCTTCTTCAGAAGACGCCTGGGAAAACCACTCCACCTACAGGAGCACAGGGCTGTCAGGACACAAGCCAAGAGCCCGACTCCAAAACAAGATCAAAACATGATCAAATATGACCTGCACATCCAGAGGATAGTAGCGATGACAATGGCAGCTCAGTTTCTGGGGTGTCGTGTCCTGAAATGTCAGTTTCTCCTCAGATAGTGTGATACGAGGAGGTTCTGGGTGAAGAAATGGGATGGAATATTTGACAATTTTCCTTTAAATTAAATTTAAGGATTTGTGGATGAGAACAATTTATGGGTTTCTTCAACTTTGAGCAATTACTGTTATGTCCCATGTGTGGATTTTTATTCAAACTAACATATTTCAATTTATATGAAGTTATATGAACCTCAAGGCATTAGAAACTTTGGTAACACTTTAGTTTAGGGACCAATTCTCGCTATTAACTAGTTGCTTATTAGCATCCATATTTCTAGCATATTGGCTGTTTATTAGTACTTATGAAGCACATATTCTGCATGACCATATTCCCAATCCTACCC